GAGCCTGCCTTTTATAGCCTCTCGGGTGACGTAGCCCATTTCTATTGGTCAATGCCGGCCTGCGTCATTCTGACGAGCCAAGCGCCCCTTCTGCGCAGGCGTGAACCCTCGTCACCAGCGGACTCACATCCGGGATTCATGCAGGGCATGAAGAGCCCGGAAACAATGGCGCGTGACATGCAACAGCAAGAAGGGCTCCACCAGATGCTGGTGCCTTGATCATAGGCTTACCTGCCTCAAGAACTTTGAACCAATAATGTTCTATTCTAAATTACCACCTCGGGGATTCTGTCATAGCATCACAAAACAGACTATCTCACTACATAAACAGTAGTAAATGGACAATACATTCAACTAAACAGGAAATAAAATGTGAGCAAAGTTTTTTAAAAGTTGAATTGTAAGTTTTGGCAAAGCTTTTTCGGAAATGAATATACTGTGATAGAGAGTTTCTGAACAGCCTCAATGACTGCAGCTCTGAGTATTCTGGCTCTTATGAAAGCCCCTCCCCTGGAGTATGGGCTAGAGTTGGTGAATGCCTCGCTCTTACAAATAGAAAATGGTACGGAGGCTTTCTCTCCTGGTGTCTCTTCCTCCTTCCTCCTCCTCCTCCTCCTCCTTCCTCCTGTCTCTCTCTCTCTCTCCCTCCCTCTCTCTCTCTCTCTCTCTCTCTCTCTCTCTCTCTCTCTCTCTCTCTCTCTCATCTCTCATTTTCTTATTTCTTCCTTTGAGAGAAACCAACTGCTGTTATTGGCTACCCCATGGAGAGGCCCACATGGCAAAACATTAATGTGTGCAACCAACAGCCAGTGAGTGACCTTGAAAGTAAGACCTCTCCCAGCTGAGCTTTGGGAGACTGCAGACAGGGCCAGCAGCTGAACTGCAGTATCCTGAGAGTCCCTGCGTCAGAAAAACCCCGCTCAGACTCCTGATCAACAGAAACTGAGATAATAAATGAACAATAATGATTTGAGGGCCGGGATTTAGCTCAGTGGCACCACGCCTGCTTTGCAAGTACAAGGTCCTGAGTTCGATCCCTGGCACCAAAAAATAAACAAATAATAGTAATAATAATAATAATAATAACAATAATAATTTGATTAGCAAATCCTCACCCCATTTCCAATGATTTCCCCTACCCCACCCAGGAAAGCTGGCAATCTTTCCTGGCAGAAAAGCCAACTCTGATTTCTCAGTTCTCTGAGTATCTCTGGAGGACATCACGGGAGACTGCAGAGCTGAATCCTGGCCCTCCGTGTC